CGAGGGAATGTCTGTAGGATGTGAAACCCCTCCAATGACGAAGTGTTGCACAGGGACCCCTGCCCTCTGGGATACGTGTGCGACATCTACTTTGGTGTATCTACCTCTTCTCCTTCCTTCTTTTCTCTTTATTCTATTTCCTCGCCCACCGCTGACCTCATGTACAGCAAAAAGATAGGTATCCGTCCCTCAGAGCGGGCAATCAGAGCGATGTGTCCCTTTGTTGAGCTCGGTTGCGGGCGGGGAGCCCCTGAGTCGAACCAACCACAATAGGCTTATGGAATCTAAAGCGGGTGCGACTGCCGAGCTGGGCAAACGAAATGGTAAAAGGACCTTTACCGCTGCCTCAACCCTACCTCTTCTCAGGGAGCTTACTCGGCAGCCATGCGTTGCCATCTCCAGTGCAGAAGGCGCACTGAAAAAGAAGACTGATCTGAATCTTTTCTAGACGGGAGATGCACTACGGAAAGTTCTGGGATACATTCCCACGAATGTACAGAAGCTGTCCTGTGGTGCACAAGTGCGCAACAGAGACAGAAGTGACCAAGCTCCTGAACACCACGACCTTCGACGACGTTCCATGTACATCCGCTCGCTACCAGAAGTTAAACTACTCGAAGGACGTCACCTGCAGCCTTGAACTGAAGGGCTGCAGCATGGAGGAAATTGTGGCAAATTGCGAGGGTGTAACCCAAGCCCACCGGATTACTCTTCAGCGGGGGGAGACCGCCCTCGAAACTAGGCCCTAACACGATCATTCGGACTTTGATTCATGTCGCCTTCCAGCCACCGTTTGGGCATCTTGCTTGGTCCTTGGCGTGCGACCCTATGGGCCGAATCCTCTGCGCTGCTTCAAATGCCAGAAGTTCGGCCATATCCAGTCGCGATGCCGACACGCAGCTGTGAGTCTTCGCTGTGCCAAACCGGGCACTCTGAAAAGAAATGCAAGGCTAGTCCTTGCTGCCACAATTGCCACGGCCAGCACACAGCCTTCAGTTAGGATTGCCCGACTTGTATCCAAGGACGTGCAATCCAAGAGTAGAAAGTGCGAAATGGCTGCTCATTTCAGGAGACCCGAAAGACGGTCTGTCCGCCAGTTGTGACCCTGGTCCCTGCCCGGTTATACTAAATGCAGTCCGGCTGGTCACGAGGTCGGCCAGTATTTCTACTGACGACCTCCCAAAGCTCGCGGTCAGCAGACATGTCTCTACGTTGAAACCTAAAAAAAATCGCTACTATCCTTGTGGCTCCTACCTTTGAGGTGCCACTCTCTAACCACTTTGGGGTTGTAGGAGAGGACGGGGTGGACTCTTCCTCCACCCCCTCTTCTTCCCTTCCCCCCTCTTCTATTCCTTCTTTTTCTTCTTCCTCCCAAGCCCCACCCCTCTGATGGAGTGTGAGGTGCCCCCTCCCTCCTCCTCCCAGCTCCTCCGTCTGCTCCACCTACCCCTATCCCTCGAGCAGACAGCCCCCTATCAATGGAGGATGACAGGTCTGTCCCCCGGTAGAGCGGAGCCCGTCACTCCTCCTCCGAATCCCCCAGTAGCCTGCTGTCCAATCAAGGACGGCAGCCTAGAAAACCCTCTGCCTCCCCCGCAAGGAGCAGTCAGGGAGTTTCAAAACCGGGGCCTTTGAGCTCCAAACTGAAAAGGCCCTCTTAATGGCAATCCTGCAAGGGAATGCCGGCGGACTCTGACCTTCCATTTCAGAATTGCGACACTTACAGGCCACACTGTGCCCGCTTGTGGCCTGTATCCAGGAGACAAGGTTCACCCCGGCTTCAACTATAGACTTAAGAGACTTAAAAGAATTTACTGCTTATCATCAGCATATTCACACGGAGAATCAGACTGCTTCAGATGGAACCACCATCAACACTGACAACAACACTTCACAGACGAGCACATCTTAGGACAACCCTCCAGGCTACTGCTATTCGGGTCACTCTGCAGAGACCAATCACGATCTGCTCTTTTTATATCCCACCAAATTTCCCCCTCAAAATAATTCAACTAAATGATTTAAAGCTCCGGCTCCCAAAGGGAGCAAGGTGATTTTAATGCCCACAGCAGCTTTTGGGGAGACACACCCACAACCATAAAGGAAAAATAATAGAATTTTGTTTTCAAAACAGCATCTGCCTCTTAAATGATAGGTTCCTCACTTACAGAAACAGATTCACTTTTGGCATCCCTTGACCTCACCTTTTCTAGCCCTGACCTAGTCTCAGATCGGGAGTGATCTGTGCTGGATGACTGTACGGACCATTTCCCAATTCTTTTTAAAAACAATAGCCTCCAAAACGACCCGTTCCCAGAACGCTTCAATTTTAAAAAAGCACGGGTTCGCTATAAAAATGTTCCAAGATTTTGAACCCCACTTTCGATCTCAACTATAACAAATTCCGTGAAACTCTTCTAGAAATTTGTCACAAATATACATACAAAAAAATATCACTAAAACCCCGGAAGAACAAGATCTGGTTCTCGGGGGAATGCGATGATGCAGTAAAGAAAAAGAAGGCAACATATCGGAGAGCCGACGACAATACCACCTCAGAAAACTTAATTAATTAATTATTTAAAAGCTCGAGCTGTTCAGAGGCCGGATGGAACCACGTCTGAAACAAGGTAAACATCGCAAACACAATAGCTACAACTCCCTCCATAAACCCATCCAACGCAAACTAAAGCACCACCTTCCGTAAAATCAAAACTAAAAGAGAACAACAACACTTGAAATTCCACTCAAACAACACTGAAACCTACAATGCAGACTTCACAATTGGCTAACTAACATCATGCATCTCGGACCTGGGCAATACAGCCCCGGGTCCGGATGACATTATCCACAACCAGATCATTAGACATATACCCACAGAAACACTTACTAAACATATACAACGACATGTGGCGTCGCACTCCTTTCCGGAGTCTTGGCGTCTCACCACTGTCATTCCAATACCCAAACCTAACAACGACCACACACACACCTATTCAATTACAGACCAATAGCATTAACGAGCTGTCTATGCAAACTTATTTTTAAAAAGTGATTTACAGGCGACTCATGTGGTTTCTGGAGACGACAGACTGACTGAGAGGTGTCCAGTGCGGATTCAGGAAAACTCTATCCACTCTGGATCACAAGGTCCGCCTGGAGACCTTTATACGCGAGACGTTTGCCTGAGGAGGCAATATGATCGTCATCTTTTTTACCTAGAAAAAGCTTTCGACGCAAGTACGGCATTATCAGAGACCTGCACGTTCTCTGCAGACGCAGTCACCTCCCTGCTTTCAGTGTCAAATTCCTGAAAAACCATGTCAGATCCTCCCTTTCAGATCCCCACAAACAGGAGTAATGTGTTCCCCAGGGATGCATCCTCTCCTCTTCGAAATTAAAATGCATTCCATTGTTAAGTCCCTCTGAAATAGCATCGCCAGCTCGTTATACGCTGACGACTTCCTGATATGTTACCGTTCCAAAAATCCTCAACTAAGATCTATGGAAAGGCAGCTGCAAACGCAGCTTCACAAACCTGAAAAATGTGCAAATAATAACGGTTTCAAGTTTGCCCCGTCAAAGATGGTTGCCGTACACTTCTGCCGATCAGGCAGACGTGTGCTGCAGCCGGATTTTACGCTATACGGGGAAAGGAGTCCCGTCCAGGACCAGGCTCGTTTCCTCGGCATTATATTTGACAAGAAACTCACATTAATCCCACACATAAAAGGTCTTCGCGTGAGGTGCCAGAAAGTATTCATTGCTTTAAAAATTCTATCACATCCGGAGTGGGGCGTGGACTCAAAACACCTTCTCCGCCTATACATTTCCCTTGTCCGATCCAGGCTTGACTACGGCTGTCAAGTTGGCAAAACATCACCTCCTACAAATGCTAGACCCAGTACAAAACCAAGGACTCCGCCTTGCCCTGGAGGAGACATAAAGAGAGCTCTTAAACACGGTCTTGGCTCAGCCTGATGTTTGGCTAGAATTGCGGGTGAGTTGGTTTCAATGACAAAGGCAATCAATTATACCGACAAAACTCTTTCTGAGGAACGTATATCGTCTTCTGACACAGAAGTCCAGATGGCAAGATACTCTTTACTTAACTGAGCCAGTGCAGAAAAACTTAGAGTAGTGTTGTGAGGCCCTTTACCTTTGAAACGGTAAATCTTTCTCTTTAAAATGTACAGATTGTGTGACAATCGAGACCGATGCATCACAGGAAGGCCAGTGTGGAGGGCTAGACTGACGGAGGGCTTATAGGGGGTGCCCACATACGAGATCGGGTCGGGTCGGCCCATCGGGTAGTCAGGGATAGCCAAATTGAGGGCGCAAAGCGGCCATCGTGGCACAAACCGATCGACGTGATCGGTGACCTACAAAAACAAACGCGTTTGTTTTCTGGTCTGCGAATCGCGCGATCGGGTGGTTTGCAGCCAATCACAACAAGGCAGAGTCACGTGTTGACCAATGGCCTCGATTCGACTCATTTTGGAAGGAAATTTGAATCTTTAAGTACATTTTTGCTTCTTCATTGCACTTTACATGATCAATATAGTTATATCTCATTATAATATGTTGTACAATAGCAGATTTGGGCTGAAAAACAGCAGAAAAAATGAAATCAAAGCCCTTGACCTAGATCTAGATCTAGATTATTTCGTTCTCAGGAGGGCTTACTATATTTACAGGCCATGTTAGACCAAGAATCTAGCTTTGGACGTGTCTAGATCTACGTTCTCTAACGTTTAGTGCTTCCCATTTTCCGCCAATTTTTAGTTTTCTCCAGACCTTATCTACAGGTCCACTAGATCTAGGCCTAGATTCTAGATCTATATCTCGATTTATTATGTCGCTTTTGCCTTTCCTGAAACAGTGCTGTAAATATGAAGCTTAATTTATCCTTCGCTGATGAAAGTTCTGATGGCCGAGTGAACAGTGTGTCTGCGTTTGAAACGCACAATATTATTTTGTGAGCGTGGGTTCGAATCCCAGTCCCAGCTTCTTTTTTTTTTTCCCTTCTTCTCATCCTCCCAACTTACCAACAATGTTTCCTATAATTATAATTTGTTGCTTTTTAGCTTTTTAAAGTGGTAAATAAATCGTCAGTGCTGTCTGTTGTACTCGTAATCATTACACACTGGGCTAAAAATAGGTTTAGCTGGTCTGATGTCGGTGGACGCGGGGTTTTTTTTGTCGCTTCTACACCGTGCAAAAACTTCGTACATTAGCTTGGCCTGGAAATGGCCTTATTTTGGTGGACACGTAGACTAAAGCAAGTTAGCAAGCAAGCAAGCACCCACGAACACACACGCACACACACACACACACACACACACACACACACACATACACACACACACACGCGCGCGCGCGCACACACACACGCACGCGCGCGCACACACACGCACACACACACACAGTCCAAGAGTACGGCAGGCATATTTTATGGATTCATGGGTTAAAGGCCCAGCCAACTGTAGCCCGGGTTTACGCCCTCTGTGTAGTCGCATGTAGGTTAAAGGTTTCTCTACTTCCAGGTCGTCGAGTACAATCGCAGCGGGGCTGTAGTGTGCACTGAAACCCCGACCCGATAGGCACGACCAGACCCGACCCGACCCGAACGCGTATGTGGGCACCCCCTATTTGGTCGTCATAGCTATGCTCACAGTTTTTGGGATTCGTCCTTGAAGTTAAAGCACTCGAACGAAAGGGAAATGATGGCGGTCTACTTGACATTGCAGGCATTTCTTGCGCAACTGAAAGGAAAATCAGTGTCGATATTAACCGACTACGTAACAACTGTGGCTTACATCAATTTGCAAGGCGGCATCAGTCAGCCGCTATCACAAATAGCCATCAATATATGGGCCTTGACCCTCGAAGACAACATAGTGATGAAAGCCAAAGACTTAAGTGGACAGGAAAATTTTGGCAGACTACCTGAGCCGCCTGTCAAGCAAATACGAGTGGAGGATACATCCACGCTTATTCAATTATCTAGACAGGGTATGAGGACCTCACACGTGCGATCGGTGTGCCTCCTTTCTAAGTACACACTGCGAAACGTACAACTCGATTCATGCAGACCCCATGACCAGCGGGATAGACGCACTGTCACAGATAAATTGGGGAAGCACAAACAACTTTGCAACTTGATAATCCTATGTTGACGTAATGACAATCAATACGCCCAGTGAGACAGGATGAGAGCAAGATGTTACTCTATCTGATGTTACTGGTTGGATTTGTATGCATGGGAGAATTTGGGCATTCCTTTGGTTTTTTTGTAATTCAAGTTATAGCCTAACTAATAAATGGAAGACAGTGGTTGAGTGATGTCTTTTGTGATTTACAGTCAAAATGCCGTTTTCTATAGAAGATTCGTTGCCCTGGAGAGGTTTTGTTGTTGTTGCTTTGGGGGAGGGGGTGATTTTTTTGTTTTGGGTTTTTTAGGGGTTGTTGTTGTTGTTTTCAGTATATTTGATTATTTTCTCTTTTTTCTTTTGAGTGAATAGAAGAAATCATGGCGTTTCATCTAACTGCAATCGGACAAGAAAAGTTGGCCGCAAAAAATGACTTGGTCAGAATGATTTAAGTAGTTTGGTAATGAAAGAGCTGGATGTCATTTCCATTGTCGTTTAGTGATTGAGCACTTATCCGTGGTAACCAGAAATCCCACGGTCTGGTGCGTCTTGGTCTTTCTGTTTGGATGTTTAAGTGTGCCCGTCTCAGCCTGGGCTGGCCCTATTAGCCCACCTCCTAAACGATCTAAATTGTGTCGATGAGGGCGTAAAAACACTTATATTTTTTCCTCAGAATGAATTTTACTTCCCCGTTACCCATCTGTCACTTTGACCGGTACTTTGTGTCCCCAGCACTCACATGCAGGACTTGAAGGACGTCACTTCGGACGTGCATTATGAAAACTACCGTGCCACGCACATCCGAACACAGATGAGCGGTACACAGAAGGAGCGAGTGTGAGTAGACCCGTATCCCTTGTTTCCCTTGACTGACACACACTAATCAAAGTTTCCATTGGCGAGTACTGTTTAGATGTTATATTGAAGCATTGTCTCAACCTGGTATATTGACCTCATTCAAACAATGCAATGCTTTGATTTATCATTTATGCTACAAAAACTAAAGAACAATCGAAGCTCACGGTACTCAAGTGCCACACCGTTTGAATAGTGAGCTCGTGTTCCTGAGTTCACGTAGGCCTGGCCAATATATAGACTTCAACATAAGTTAAGGGAAGACAGGCATGCTTTTCTCAAAATCCGTTATAACAGACTTAGCAATCATTTAAGGGGATTATATATGACTTTGGGAGTCTTGTACGTTATTCAGGTAGTCAGATGTACTTTAGTTCTGCGCTCCGGGCAAATTTTTACACTTTAGGGTGCCACGACCCTCTCATCATCACCCAGTGCCAGATCTGCGACAGACATCGGCGATCATGGTTTTCCATTCATTCCTTTGCTCGGATGCTCTCAAAAAAGCTACGTTTCCCTGATCTTTTCCTGCTACCCATTTGTTTAGGTTCCCTAAGTATGTTGTTCTGGGCCTACCCCTGCCTCGCTTGCCCTCAATTTTGCGAGTGAGAGCTAGATGTTCAAGACCCTTATGTCTATTCAGGTGTCCCAAAAACTGCATTTGTCGTTTCCTGATTGTTTTTAACATTGAGCGTCCCACGTGGGCTTCATCAAGCACTACCTCATTTGATTTCTTTTCCTTCCACGATACTCTTAGCAGTCTCCTAAGAAACCACATTTCTGTTGCTTCTATTTTATTTTCACTGTCTTTAGTGATTGTCCAGCATTCACAGCCATATAGAAGGGTTGACCAAACATAGCATTTCAGGACTTTCATTTTGGTGTTCATTGAGAAGTTTCTATTTTTCAGGATTGGCTTCATTTTATTGAAACTAGCCTTAGCCATTGTAGTTCTCCTTTTTATTTCTGTGGAACATTTGGCGTTAGATGTTATCATATATCCGAGATATTTAAACTGTTGGACTTGTTTGATCTTTTCACCTTTGCTAATGAGATTACAACTAGGGTTTGCTGCTTTTTTTTATATTACCATGCATTCTGTTTTCTTTAAATTCAACAATAATCCTTTACGTTCACTTTCTGTTACAACAGTATCTAGAAGCAATTGAAGGTCCTTTTCGGAGCCTGCTTTTAAAACTGTGTCATCTGCATACCTGATGTTATTAATATTTTCTCAATTTACTTTGAGGCCTATGTTTCTAAGGATTGTTTCACTGTGCATGTTAAAGAAGTCTGTTGACATAACACATCCTTGCCTCACTCCTCGCCTGATCCTCTTATATTCACTGTATTCTCCATTAATTCGTACAGCAGCGTTTTGGTCCCAGTACAAATTTCTGATAATTCTTAGATCTTTTCCATCTATGTCTAGCTTTTCCAGTATTTTAAACAGCTCATTATGTCTAACTTTATCAAACGCCTTTGAATAATCTATGAAAAATAAAATACAGATCTTTCTGTGCTTCAATACATCTTTCCATTAACATTTATATAGCATTTCTGGTGCCCTTGTCAGGAACAAAGCCGAATTGTGTTTTAGATATCTCTGGTCTTACACTTTTTCTTAATCTTCCCATTATTACTCGCAGCAATATTTTTGTAAAATGACTCATAAGGCTAATTGTTCTATGCATATCACACTCAGTGGCACCTGGTGTTTAAGGTACAGCTATAAAAACTGACTTCATCATATCTTCTGGGATCTCACCGCTGTCATAAATAGCATTTAGGAGCCTAGTTCTTCAAGCGCCACAATCACTTCAACTGGAATATTATCCGGTCCTGTGGCTTTTCCTTGTTTCATTTTCTTAATGGCAGCTTGTACTTCTGCTTTCAGTATTGGTGGTCCATTTATTTCATTCTTTATTACCGGTTTTTCTCCTCTATTATCTTTGAAAAGTTCTTCTATGTATTCTGACCATCTGTTTAAGACATCCCCGTTGTCCATTAAAATATCTCCTCCCTTTGATCTTATGCATCCTGTATTTGAGCATCTTTTTATCCCACTTACTTCTTTGATTTTGGAATGCATGTATTTGCTGTCTTTGTTTTGGTTCTTCTCTATTTGTTGACACTGATCATTTATCCATGTTTCTTTTGGTTCGTTGCATTTTTTCTTTATTTCCCTGTTTAAGATGGTGTACTTTTCCACATTTGATTTTGCCTTTCTTCTCTCTTCCATTAGTTTTAAAATGTCCTGGGTCATCCATTTTTTATTAGTTTTTTTAGCTTTCGGGGGGATATTTTCTTCCACGGCTTCTATTATTGAGTCTTTCATTTTCCTCCATAGTTCTTCCGATTTAGTAATGTTTTCCAAGACTTGAAATTTATTTCTTACATCTATGGTGAAACGTTCTTTCAGTTTTTGATTTGTCTTTAAAAGACCTATGTCAAATTTAGGTTGATACTTTGACTTTTTGAGTTTCTTTAGTCTTATCCGCATTTTGCACATGACTGGTACATGGTCACTATCCATAGAGTTACCCCCTTTTAAACTAAAGTCCGTACGAGGTTATGTGACACGGACACATTTAAGTTTGTTGGCGGCCATTTTTAATGTGGCTAAAAAGTTTGTTTACATGTGAGTGGGCGTGTCTCTGCTCTTAGTCTTACATGTTTTATTTGATTCTAACGTTATGTTTTAATTCAAAGCGATTCTCTTAAAGGTGCAAGCATGTGAAACCTCTTGTCCCTTTCTGGATTAACGTCTTACTGGTTCTGTCAGGCAGTTCAGTGATGTCTGTTTTCTTTTATTACATCATCTATTTTCAGTGCATAATATGTCTTATAGACACAAATAGTCACTCCGGGTTTCTTTTTTAAAACATAAAGAGCCATCAGTAAGGTTCTGGGCCATGTGAAGTTACGGTTGACTAGCAGCTAGATCTTTTTCACAATGGGCATGAAATTTCTTTATCAAACTGAAACAGTGTACTTTTTATTGTTTTGTTTTATTGAATGTTGTCCAAAAACACTTTAGTAAAGGTTTTTGTTTCAGTTATCACTACATTGAATAGAAAAACAATTGACTAGGCTACAAAACAACATTTAAGTTCACTTTTTTAAATCTTTAGTGAGTCCAGAGTTGCCACAGTTGTTTTACTAATGTCCAAAATTAGATTTACTTAAAACAGCAATAGAAGGAGCTTTAGTTTAAGTGCTGTATGGTCTACTTTAGTTCTTAAAATCAATATAAACCAAAGTTTAATACCGACATAAGAAAACACTACTTATAATTTAGTATACTTTTTTTAAAAGTGAACATATGAATGAAAAATACAGTTTCCTGTTCAAATGTCACAAGGGAAAGTTTAACTCGATTTTAAAAAATACCAGTACATGTATTCATCATTTGTTTGACTGAATTTGCTTTATCAAGAGCTTCATTGCATTCCTACACCTAAAAGCTGAAAAACTCTGGATTTTTTTTCCTATGGCTCATCCTGATTTAATTTAATGCTAAACTCATATATCTGAGGGGGGGCCGGGGGGTGTTGGTATTGAGATTCGGGAGGAGAGAGAAGGTGGGGTGGTTAAGGGAGGTTCCCATGACACCCACATCTTTTCATACTTCTTTTTAAAAGTTCTATAGGCCCTATACGCTTTGATTCGGTCAATAAGAAATAAACCACCTCGCTCGTAGATAAAGTGCTGATGAAGAAATAAAGGTTGTATTATTTCTTCTTTTTTTAAAGCCCATATCTCTATCTCTATCTATTTAATAATACATTTATTTGTAGATCTAGTTGTAGAAACAACGCCATATTATTGCAATTTAGTAATTTAGATATAGTACGCCACGGCGCCCATGTAAAAAAAATCAACAAGAACCAAGCCTCGCCTGTCGCGTATGAGAGAGACAGAAAACATGCCTAGCCCATTGCTTTAGCATGAACCCCTTCACACAACTTGCCACAAAAAACATGGCGGACGCCGCTGTCAAATGTGGCCATCGCGCAGCAAGTCGAGAGAGGGGCGTACTGTATCTAGTACTATAGTGTACATCTATATCTGCTCCTGGCATTGATTTAGATGATTGTATTGAGTTTCTAAAACGTTTCTAAAAAAGTATAAAGTCTATTTGATTTCTACTTCTATCGCCAGGACTCTTCCAAGTGTATCTTCTTCTTGGGTGATTTTCATACCAGGTGTTTGATATCATAAAATTATTTTCTCTGCACCATTCTACCAGTGGTTCCCCTCGTTCATTCTCTTTACCCAGTCCCCATGGCCCAACTATATCTCCTATACGTATACTTCCTACTTTGGCATTAAAGTCTCCCATGACTATCTTTACATCTTGTGATTTTAACTGTTTCATAGCCTTATCACGGTCTTCATAAAAAGTCTCAATTTCCTCGTTGTCGTGTTCTGATGTTGGTGCATATATTTGGATGACACCTATGTCAAAAGGTTTTCCCTCTAATTTAGCCACTATGACTCTATCTGACACTCCCCAAAAACCTTTGATGCTCTTTGCTGTTGCTTCGTCAAATAAAATTCCGACTCCTCTTTCATGGGTTTTTCTTCCTGAATATATAATTGTTTTGGATCCTCTTTTAATCAAGCCTCCCCCCTCCCATCTAACTTCTGAAAGGCCTAACATATTTAGCTTCATCCAATCCATTTCCTGTTTTTATAATATCTAATTTGCCTTTCTGGTACATTGTTCTTACATTCCATGTGGCTATGTTAAGTTGCTTATTTTTGCAGCTAGTAGCTGGATGACGATCGGGCGCCACCTGCTGCCCGTGGCGGTCCCTACCGAGCGGGGAGTTTAGAGCTGGATCATGAACCCCCTTAACGCTGTTATCTGATAAATGAATGTAATTTTCCATGACTATTCTATAAAACGTTATTTTAGTGCTAGCATAATTTTCTTATCAATAAAGCTACAGAGTTAATATTTTCACAAAGTAAACTCAGTAGTCGCAACCTGTAAGAGGAATTGTGTGATATCGTTTATAATAAGAGAGATATTCCAAACTGCATTGTTATTTCATTTTACATAGTTCTATTCCAAACTAGGTGATCATTGGTGGTGGTGATACTGAAAAAGACAAACATTGCATTAGTCTGTTTGCGGTCGTAAAAAAGTAATTCCAATACGAACGAGTTTTTGTTGTTGCTTTTTTTGCGTTTTCTCTAAAACGCAATATTTTTAGAGGTATGGCGTTTTAGTGCAGCGATATTTCGGAAGCTGTTTTATAGGATTCCCTTGAAAATTGGCCCCAGTGTGGGCAATTAGTGTAGTCGTAGTTGCAACCTGTTAGAGGCTTTTTTTATTTATGGAATATTTTTCATATTACTACGTTCTATATCAATATAGCTTTATTGATAAGATTTTAAGGGGAATTTCGGTAATATTATGTTAAAATCTGGGATATGTTGCTAATTAAAAACGATATAAAAAATTCTGGCAACTTCTCGGGCTCCAACTCCATCCTGCAGCCATACCATATCTCTGGCACGTTCAAAGTCTCCCAGCTTTCGTCTTGATGGCATGTTGATGTGATACTTGATTTTGCGCAAACGACGCTTATAATGACACCAAAGTGAGCACAGTTCGATACCGTACGTCCGTTTATGACGTGCACCAGAAATTTTAACTGATGAATGTTCACGGTGTCCCACACAAAGCGATAAAGAACAGGAAATGTGCCACAAATTCCCCGAGGATTTCCGTGCTGCACGTGGTGGTTTTGCCCCTTTGCAATACGCATTTTCAGAGGGGAAAAAATTAGGAACATTCTTTTCTCTCTTTTTTCGATTTTTTTTTTTAAACCAGGGCTGTCTGAGTGTCAAGGTGGTCCTTAACTTAAGTTGAAGTCTGCAACTTTTCATCTGAACATAAAAGCAGCATCAAGATGCCGAGACTTTCATCAGAAAGACGTTAGGGAGCTATTGGACGACTATAGGCTGGCAAGTCTGCCTAACCGTGTAGCAAATGTTACAGGCGTACATGTCTCGACAATCTCCAGACTACAGAACCGGTTTCGAGCTGCCAACGCAACCAATGACCTCCCCCGAGTCGGACGACCAAGGGCAACAACTGCCACTCAAGATCGCCTCATGGTGCGCCAATACCGGATGGATCCACTCCTGACAGCCTTCAAAAACACCTAGAACACCATCGGTTGAACGGGACGACGCCCATGTTGCCGGCCAATTCTGACCCCTCAGCACTGCCGTGACCGGCTTCTGTGTGCACAAGCTCACATGAACTGGAGGAACAAACATTTGAGAAGGGTGTTATTCACCGACGAGTGCCGACTCTGCGTTGATCCGGAAAATTGGTCAACACTTGACGGGCTACACTGATGCCAACGTCGTGGAGAGAGACCCATGGGAAGGGCAAGAGTCATGATTTGTGGAGTCATCGCCCTTATCCAAAGAATTAGACCAGTATTCTCACAGACAATGGGTTGTAGACGAAGGAAATAGGATCACAGGTCCGCGCTACATTGACCAAATTCTTCAGCTTTATGGGTTGCTCTTTTTCCAGAAGCATCCACATTTCTTTTTCCAGCAAGACGACGCGAGACCTCAAACTGCCCTTGTGACACACATTGCTTTCTAGCCCCATTCGGCTCATTCATACTTAAATCATATTGAGCCCGTTTGACACGATATCCAGAAGCGGCAACTGCCGCTACAAGTGGCTCTTTAATTAGCTAGAGCCGTCGGCTAGTTGTGGGCACAAGTCCAAAGTGGATTGAACTCTAAGGGACGAAGATGCAGAGCGGTTATCGCAGCTTACGGGTCAGCATTAAATAAACATTATTGTTACAGGCGTCAAGGACACAGGAATAACGTAGTGACGCTAAAACCACGCTATAAAACATACTAATTGACACTCTCGCGGCTGCGTAAATTAAAATTACACATGACACACCCTTGTTGGGTGTAGTGACTGTTGTGTGTTTTGTTCATGCTTTAGATTTTCTCGATTCTTGTGCCTCTGAGTATGTATTATGTAATCTCTATATATTATATTTGTGAACGTTCGTCACTTTGGCCGCCTAAAACTTTCGAACCACTTAACTTTCGAATTTGACAAAATAAATGGCTGTTCAGAACCATTTAAAGGGTGCACAGTTTTTATTGAGGAGCCTGGAGTCACTGTAGTTTAATTTTAACTTTCAGTTTTTCATTAGTTTCGTTTAGATCTAATCTTGGGAAAGTCCATCTTCTAAGACACCATTGTAAACAAGTGAGGTTTCCGTTCACTAGCTGTGCGCACTGCTTTCCACACCTTCGAAATGCTGGAGTGTGCAACCACGAAAGCGGAAAAGAGAATCAATCTCTATATCTATTATAAATATATTTGGCAACTTAGAAACACACGAGTCACTTTTTCCATAAACCTACAACAGATACAGAGTTGGACGTTGGCAAGTACCTGCAAAAACATAGATAGGTCCCCGTGACGGAGCCCGATTTTTTATTTATCCATTTCCTATCACATTTTATATATACAGGAACATGGGTTTTCACCATATAAAAAGTTCACGGTCACCTGCCAACCTTTTGGCCATCGGGCTGATATCAGGCGACAGCAGAATCTGATATTTTGACTATAGACCAAGGTGGCGCAGTTCCAATGAAGGCAAATAATTTACACAGATAATAGCAGCAGTGGACCAGGAGGGACAACGTTTAGATTTATTATTTTTTTATGATGTTGGGTTTATATACTTACATTTTTATTGTACTATTAGTGAAAATTATGTTGGACCTCAAGATATACTCCTAGGCCCACGAGCTTTCTCTCCAGCTGAGCTGTGAAATATTCGCTAACGAGTGCTTTCACTGACAGAATACCTCTCACCATCAATGTGACTTTTTGCTCTTATTACTTTATGTTAAAGTAAGGTTTTTCTTCTGATATTTCATCGGAAGCTCACAGAGGCTTCACGAATTTAAAATGCTGAAACCAACAAAGAATCTCTAAAGCAGTTCACATCCACGAGTGGACAAGAAGTTTTATAATGCTTATAATGTGCCTGAGTGTCAGACTTAATCTCTGTGGCCAAAGTAAAAGTCACGAGTCATCTTAAACATATATCTTCTATTTTGCGTTTTTAAGAAAAATCTCCTCTGTTGTTGATGCATTTATTGACAATGTCAGACCTTGACTTGGCGCTCATATGACCTTATGCAGTTGAGAGCGCCATAAAACCCTCTACAAAAACAAAAAAGACCTATACTGACGAGCTTTTATTACGTCACAGGAAACTGAAAAGAGATTCTGCCCCCAACTTTGAAGCTGTAGCAGACACTGACAAACTTCTGGAACAGAAAGATGCAGAGGTGAAATGCTTGGCTTATTTTGCTAGAATATTGAGGGAAGGAATTTGGTGGGGGGGGGGGTTCTATTTGGTGTTCTGTTTGATTTTCTTTTCCTGTTTTATAAGGAAAGGTAACGTTGGGTTACTCTTTTATTAAAAGCTTAAATTTTTGTGGAGTTTTGGTTGCTCGTATTGTGTGTTCTTTGTTTACGTTTTACAAAGTTAGTCCTATTTTAAAATGATACATTTTGTGGGTGACTAGAAGGTTCGTTTTGTCTACCCTTTTCCCCCTGCTCTCTATTATTGATGAGAGATTTACATCATTATTTTTGTGTTCTTTTGAAGATATGGATAAATTGACAAAAATCATTATTATTACTATGGTTCCTTACCTTATTATTCTGGTCCTGAGGACTTGGCCCACTGGGGAAACTAGAAGCAATATTAATGTCAGAATGGTGTTTGGTTCCTTTTTTCTTGTTTATTCTTTTCAATTGCCTATTAAGCAAGAAGTATTAATTATTTTACCTTGATGAGTCACCCTTAAGGGCTTCAGGATTCTGATATAAAAAACAGCACACTTAACACTAGGTGTCAAAGAAAAGAGGACCCGTGCAAACGGCAATAACTCGGGCCATCTTTTGACCGTTTTGCGCAGAACATGGAATATATTATAAAATTCAACCGCGTGGACGTTATTTTTGTTGATATGAAGGACATCAATGCACGTGTTCGAGAGATACCATGTCTTTTTAGTGTCCACCAAATTTTCAAAAAGCACAAAATTTGCAATTTCTTAAAATTCAACCGTAATGTGTTTTTGTGCATTTAAGAAAATATCGTCAAACATTTTCACTTAATTTCTAAATAAATTCAGGAAAGTGGTGGCTATTTAAGTTGTATATTCCAGGTGTTGATAACTAATGTCTGGACAAACTCGAAGACGTGGATTGAAAATTTGAACGACCTTTTGACATGTTTTTCTTTGGACGCACGGTTCAGCATTGCGTTTCAACGGCTTGATTGTTATGAGATTATTTCCGTATAGATCTGCTCTGGAAAAGGAAACATCAGGAAATAGTCAAGGGGGCTGAAATCGGGGAATATGGTGGCCATTCATTTATAAGTTTTTGGCTCGTAACGTGCAAGGGCCACTCTTGATGTGTGCGGTATAGTTTCACTCTGCTGGAATCGGGTCTCCTCAACAATAAAGTATGATATCTTCTCTTTCCCGATCTTCTTCAAATCTTTCTCAGCACGATAAGCTATCCATCTGAATTCGGTCCTAACTGCCCTTGTCCTGAAACCAGAACAGGCCAATCTCACTCATGTAGCTGAATGATTTTAAGAAGTAAAACTTACCGTTTTACTCATTTTTGGTTCAAATTCTTTAGACCTAATATTTTAAAAACAATTTGACTGATTTTCTCCATACTTATAAAATTGACATCCCCTTGATTGAATTATGTTTCTTCGAAGTTTTGTTGAAATTGGTGCAAGAGGTGAGCGAGTTATTGCCCTTACCATATGTCCTCCCTTCTTTTTAGAACAAGAGGTGTACATGCATTACAGTTCATGTGATATTATGAACTTTCGAAGATTTCATCTCCAACATGAACACATGTCTCATCATTCAGACATAAATGTTATGTTGTTGTCGTTTACTTGTTTGTTTGTTTGCTTGTTTGTTTTGTTTGTTTGTATTTTTTCGTAACGCTTGATCCATTACTGCTTTCAGATCTTGCGCATGCAGCAGATGCTGGCCCAAATGCAAGAACAGCTCAAAGTCAAGGACACATCCCCACAAAAACCTCAGCAGAAGCACGTCAATGGCCTGGGCAAGTTGTGATGATGTCGAACTACTCTTCCAGAATACTTTGCTGGAGCACACACCACGTACGCACGCGCGCGCGCGCACACACACACACACACACACACACACACACACTCACACACACACACACACACACACACACACACACACACACACACACACACACACACACACACTCTCTCTCTCTCACACACACACACACACACACACACTCTCTCTCTCTCTCTCACACACACACACACACACTCTCACACACACACATACACACACACCTACACACACACATACACACACACATACTTTTCCCAGCCTAATTGGCCATACGCCGCGCCCCCCCCCCCCTACCAACATCTCTAGGCTTAGTTACCCCTGGGGAGAGATTTGAGATGAGATCATTTATTTAAGTGGAAAACCAAGTCATGTCATGTTGCCAGACGAAAACTGAAATCCCTTTGGTATTTAAAAATATCTCAGTACACTATTTAAATCTTTAGCGTTATGCACCGTTTCAGTACACGAGTCAAATGTTTCCCCTTATATAAATCCCACAAGTTATGTTAATCCATCCTGTGTTTATCTGACTACCCCGCCATATCTCCCACATGAACAGGCTGGTGGTTTTATATATTCAACTTTTATATTGTGTATGTTTCTCTATTAAATATATACCTGCTTTATGTGGTGGGTTAAGGAAAAAATGTCCATGGATTTGAAGTAAGCTCTATTTGGTATTTTGAAAGACATTGTAAACTTTACAAATTTTGAGACTTTCAGATCCAAAGTTGTCAAAAAATAACTCCTCGCCGTGTAAGGGAAGAGTATCAACAGGGAATAAGTTCCCCTCAGAATTATGTAAGAGACTTTTGGTTGTTTTCCCAATGTGTGAATGCAAATTTAGTTACAAATTTAGTTATCTCTTTTGAATTCATGATCTTCATAATCATTTCAGGCTGAGTAATTCAGCTTAAAGACACTGCTATAATACAATTTTTTAGCAATATTATCCCTTAGCGTCCATGTAAAAAAGTAGATATGTGATGAAAGAGATGGTGTGAATTTCTGTAGGAACCTTTAATTTTGCTACTTGTTCTTGTTCATCTTTTATATTCTTTGGAATAACAATAAATACGGCCTGCAATATGAAAACAGAACCAATCTCTTGCGAATCCATGTGAACAGATTGCATCAGACCCCTGTATCTGTAAAATCACACTTGTGAAAGATGTAAGCATGCTTTTTCTTTGAAGTAGGTATTGTACTCCTATGAACTAGTACTTTTGTGTTCATTAGTCAAAAAGTGCTTGGTTTTAGATTTTAGGATTATGTATTATTAATGTTGAAAACAAACAGGAGAACAGCTGTCTGCCCTCAGAGCTCCTTCTTGGTTATCTTTCCACCCATTGCATATTTTTTCATTCATACAATGATTTACAAGTTACTAATCCAAGTATTACGATGAACACAGCTTGAATTGGTTACTGTAATTATTTTGATTTGTAATTTGTAATGAAGTCATACATTCCTCTAATCTTCGAATTAACGTGATGGGCACCCTCTGTCCCATTCCTTAGTGATGCCATCTTAAAAGTGTCACAGAGAGTTCTGAAAGGTTAAAAAATTTGCTCGTAGGTGGCTCAGTTAGTATTAGTACATAATCTAATCTACTAGGCTAAGATGAGTAGAAAAAGGAAGACAAAGAAACGTTTGTGTTAACTGGAATAAAATAAAATGCTGTAGAATGGACGAATAGCACACATTCTCTTGTGCTGTCAGCTATAGCGCGAATAATGAGGAATTAGCAAACCAGTGTTTGAAATGAATTTAAACTAAGATTAGACCTCGTGTATCTTTTATTGTTGTCATGTGTTGTTGTATTTTCAGCTCTTTATGTTCTTAACTTTTCCTCTGAACAACTTTTTTGTTGTTGTACAACGAATCAGTGGGAACCAATTTGTGGAGTCTGATTGTAAGATAACCAGAGGATCTATTCTTGTTTTGAGCATTTCGTTGTAAATTTCCGTATTATTATGGATATCCTTTATTGTGCACAATAAAGTTGTCTCTGTTTTCTTGTAAATGGATGAAAAGGAAAGAGTGACTTGTGAAAAAGGTTTCATAACGGCAGCAGTTTGTGTGACCAAAGAGATTTTATGTTGTACTTGATTTTTTAAATATTTCCAATACTTTTGTGACCTACATTATGTACGGTACAAGTTCTCGCTACTTTGTACTTCCAATATTATTATCAGTGTTCTTTTTTATACTTGCTAGGAGCTTGCCATCACCCACTCTTTCCTACCGTTCTCTCTCTCTCTTTTTCTCTCTTTTTCTCCCTCTCTCTCTCTCTCTCTCTCTCTCTCTCTCTCTCTCTCTCTCTCTCTCTCTCCCTCTCTCTCTCCCCTGCCTCCCTCTCTCTGTCCCCATCTTTTCTCGCTTCCATTTACATCAATCTTTATATCTATATATGTGTGTCTGTGCGTGTGTGTGTATGTGTGTGTGTATGTGTGTGTGTGTGTGTGTGTGTGTGTGTGTGTGTGTCTCTTTTGAACCTTGCTGTCCCTCCTGGCAACAGTTCATAGACGTTTACACATCGTAGGCCTGGGCAGGACTTGGACTTGGACTTGGACTTGAGACTTGAAATTCTCGTGTCCACCAATTAGTGTTTGAGACCAAGTATTTAGATCTGAGCAAGTCCAAGTCTTGACTTAGCAAAATAAAGGCAACATTATTTAAACGCAGATTGCAAACTTTGAGTATAGATCTAGATCTAGACTCAGTGAACCAACGTCAAAAGAAATTATGCTCAAAACTGGTATGTTTCTAATAAATTTAGTGTTTTCTGTTGGTTGTTTTAATTCAAATACATCTACCACCCCTACTACTTGCTAGGACTTGCTCGTCCTAGGCGAATTGGTTGAGTCCATTTCCTCGATAAGGGGTAGGCAATATCACCCCTATTACTTGCTAGGATTTTATGGCCCTTAGCGGATTGGTTGAGTCCACCTACTCGATAAGGGGTAGGCAGGCCTAGGCCCGGATATAAGGCTTCAATGCCATCATTGCCATCCAAGGCTGAAGCAATTCCTGAGTTTATTAATACAACAGAGAAGAGAACAAAAAACAAACAAGCGAAGAAAAAAAAAAATTTTAATTTAAAAGTCAGCCAAACAAGTATCATAAAGATGTTCCCTACGTCTCAACATAGGGTCTAGGTGGTTGGTTGGAGAACAACAAAATAACGATAACGATAGAGGGAAGTAAAGCTATCAAAGAAACTTTTCATGTTACATGTATACTTTATTACGTTCCCTGGACTTGAAACTGGGCTTGAGAATTGCGGGTCTCAAGGTGTTAGGACTTGAGACTTGAAAGTCCTATTTTTTTTTCAATTCTGCCCAAGCCTAACACATCGTGAACTTTGTAAAGTTAACTGATTATTCCATCTTTCACCATTTCTGAAAAGAATTTAATTTGGTTATCGGTAACTTGAAATATAAGAATTCAGTTTGTTCAGTACTGTTCCATAATGGACACAGAGTTGTTTTGCTAGATTCCTGTGGTAAGGATCCAGCTGAAGATTGTTGATACATATGCTATGTAATTAACATACTGTGTGACTGGTCAAAGAATTCAACTTCTTCTACAGCAAGCTTGTATTTTGTGCTACTTCACCAATGTTCTCTCTTTATCTCACGGTGGTCACAGTCTGAATCTGCGGACAATCCTTGCTTTGATTTAGTCCTTTCATAAACATTTTTCTCTTTTATGCTCCCATTCTTTAAATATTACTTTTTAGTAATACCATCAATCTTCGGCACTTGTATTGTGGATATAATTTGTGTTTTGAATAACGTATACTCTTACTAAAACGAAACTAAACAAAGTAATGATAAAAATCGGACAGTGGGTCAGATGTGTGGGAGCAGTGAGGAAAGTGAGCTGTATTCAAGTTCTAAGCATTTTGACACTGTTCAAATTATAACCAGATTTCTCTTCCCAGTGTTAGGTTCATCATGAAAATACTGAAATGGCAAGCAACTGATCTCTTTTAGCCTTTAAAACTTTTTGAAGTCAGCTTGTTCCAATCCAAAACAAGACAGTTTTTTGTCGAAAGTTGTTGATTCCATTTACTTTGACTTTGGGCCTGTTTTGCCTTTTCAAGCAATATTTTTTCAACGTTTTTGGTTGATATGAAAAGACACTTCTTCCCGGGACTGGTGGCTTTTTGTATGCGTCCATCTGAGATGGTAAAATAAATCTATTTAATTTACTGTACAATTGTTAGATCATATTTCATTTTAGTTTTGCAGTTTTTCTTTTACTTTCTTTGGCTTAAAGAAAGAGGTCATATAGGTTTTAAATAATAGGCCTAGTACATGTATTTATAATCTCTTTGGGTTCAAACAAGCAAAACTCCCTTTTGAACACATAGTAATTATTGGAAGTTGTTTAAAAAAACGGAATATTGTAGGCCTATTCAAGCAGAGAGCCATATGGGAGAGAGGGGAGAAGTGGGCAACCGTGGGAGGATTTTTGAAAAAAGAAAAAATAACTGAAAAATGAAGTAACAAAGGACAAAATGCTTTATATCAATCCAAACAACATATTGTGTTTTTAAAAAACCCAGTTATAAGCAGTACAACAGAGATGGAATGAAAATGGTTTTATAGGGTGCTGAAGTCAACATAATATACAAGTAGTGAGAAGTGTGTCATAGTTGGGGAGAGATACCCCCCCCCCCTCCTGTTGGGAGAAAATGTCCCCCTGGGGAGAAGTGGGTCAAAGGTGACATCTGTTACCAGGGTTACCGAAATCTGAAAAAGAACAATAGACTCCTCATAACGACACAATAATGGAATTTAACACAAAATAAGACTACCAAAGTGTCCAAACTGAAACTGGAAACAGATGTCACTTCTATGGTTCTTACAATAGTGTCTCTGAATTCTAAACATGGGTGGAGGTGGCTTGATTGAGTCAATATATGGACTGAGGAAGTGTCTTCTACTACTGGTTTTACAAAATGTGGACTCTTTTTGCCCTTTCTTCTGAAAAAACCTTCCCCAGCATCATTGCCGTCTCTTTCTTTGACAACAATCCCAACATAATAAAAATGTGGGGGGGGGTTG